GTGTGTGTGTGTGTGTGTGTGTCTCTGTGTTTCCATGCATGCTCTGGTCGTCCTGCGAGTGTCTTTATGTTCATGCGTTTGCTTCTACAACTGTTTACACGCCCGTCTGTGTCTAAAAGTGAGAATAGTGGGGGTGGGTGGGGGGGGGTGAAAGAGGGATGCCTGTCACTCGCTGAATGCTCCTCCACCTTCCTCCTAGTTGGGACGCAGCCAGAGGCCTCTCCTCTTAAACCCAAACCTCCAGCTAACACATTTATCCCATTTTACAGCCGCTGCAGCTGGACCCGGCACAAACTGTGGAGCATTGTGCGGCTGCAGCTTTGACCGCCTCTAATCTTGTTAGCGAGAGAAGTAATAATAACGCTCTTCACTTCAGGGTTGAACCTGGAACCGGCACACTGGGATTTATGTAACGGCCTTTGCAGGAGGCCGGGGAGAGCAGGCGGAACAACCTCCGGCTGAAATACACGATGCTTCACAGTTTGTGTCTTAAAATATCGACAGTGAGTTTTACAGTTGATCTGTTTGTGTGAGTTTAAGATGCCAATCAAGAGGGGGGAGGGGCTCGTGCACATCATACGCACACATTTAGACATTCTCAACTAAAACCAAAGTAGATTAGTGGCACGGGGCCTCGTTAAGGGGGTTTCTGACTGTGGTGTCACTTCAAGTCCAAGACTTGAATAATAAGAGAATAAGAGGATTTAGGAAGGTTCTTGAAAAATTCTAGTTCCTGTGGACGAAGGTAATCACTCAAAGGCAGAGATGAGAAGATCCGATCCTGTCGTCCCCGTGGCCTCCTCTTGATCTTTCTGAGGTTTTTATGCCTTTGAGTCACTTTCTAGACTCAAACAGATAAATGTTCACGTTCTGATAACGTCTCTCTCTTTGACAGTCTGCACCTGAAGGCATCACGGTGTTGCACGCTGTAATACGCAGGAACATCGACAGAAGTAGGTTGTGAGGAATGAAAAGAGAAGTTCAAACGCTGCCTGGTGCAGTCGTCAGAAACATTCTGGAGCCTTAATGTGCAGCTTCAACCTCGAAGCACAAAAGAATCAGTAGAATGAATTTTACATGACTTTTTTTTATTTTTTATTATCGTCCCATCGAGTTGATTTTCTACAGTTTTCTAGTTTCAGGGCTGCAACAAATAAAACTTTACTTTCCAGTTAATCTTTTTCTTTTCAATGAGATATCCAATATATTTTGAAATATTCATTTTTCATAGTCTGAAGGGAACCGTCCGCTTCCTTTACACATGAAGAGAGACACGTTCGTATTCGGAGCCGTTAGAAGACGAACACAGAAGAAATTAACGCAGAGAACGAAGCTCCGTCTGATTCCGTCTCTAACGTTCGGCATTAATGAGACTTTAGTCAGAATGTTCTGTAGATTGATTAATGACTGAATCAAGCCTCTGGAAAACAGCCTGAAGACAAAGTCGTGACCTTTTGTCCTCGTCTCCTGCTTCCTGATCGTCTCGGCTTCTTCTGCTGGTTTACTCTCCTGAGATCTGATTTGTGTTGATCTGCTCACATGTTTAAAAACTAGGACGACTTGTGTGCTTCCTCGTCTTGTTTTCAAGTCTTTGTTGTCAGAGGCGTGACTCTTGGCTCTCTCCGTGACAGACGCTCCTCCTAAAGATCCCACAAAGGATGATGGGAAAGCTCTGGTGCAGCCGTCGCCAGGTAAAACCGTCGGTCGTCGCCTGCTGTGCTGCTGCAGAATAACCAGTTCTCTTCAGATGATTAACAACCTGTGGTGTCTTTCTCTAAAGTGGTTTGGCTGCAGTTTGTTTTGATTTGTCTTCTTTCTATGCTTCTGCTTTTTTCCATTAATCCACTGACGGCATGAGACGAGCTTTAAACATTTAAACATCCTTCATGGCTCCTGACTGTGCTCTGGTGTTTGTCGTTGGGACGTGTTTCAGGCCTCGGGGCTTTTCAGATAACTTGCCTGAACACGGTTTGTGTTTAATTAACGATGCAGTTTTTCTCTCGGCATTAATAAGAGTCAGAACAAAGTTTTTCAAGTGTTGAATTTGATTCAGTAACTTGATCCTGACTCTGGAAAATGCTGCGGCTGATTCAGGAACACGAACGGATGATTTCCAGATGAGTAACCGTTTGTTTCTCATTACTATTGCTCTCGTGACTATTCCTCAGTTTCAGTCTTGACTTGAGGCCATAACGTTGTTCAAAGTGTTTTTCTTCCTGCTGCACATGATGCTGATGTGTCTGCACGCCACCGGATTTTGAGATGAAGACAATTATCACGTTGAACTTTTCAGCTTCAAGCTCTGCAGAGGTTTTATCAAGCACAGGAGCGGCACCTAGTGGCAGAGTACAGGAAGTGACTAAGCTCTTGACGTAGATTTTAAAGAGCGAGTGCAGTGTTGATGGAAGCGGATGAAGCGGACGTCAGACTGTTAATCGTCTCTCGTTCAGTTTGTGTGTCTGAGCTGTCCGTGACTTCGTGGAGACATTTGGCAGCAGGAGTTAAATAAATCCTGCTTTTTGTCTCTTTTGTCCTGACGTCTCCGCTGCTGCTTTCAGCTGCTGTTTATCAGTCATGTCACTCACTCGTCCAACAAAACCTCCCCAGCTCTCCGTCAACTCCCGAAACAATTCTTCACACAGAGCTTTTTTTTTTTTTTTAGAAAGAAAGAAAGTTTGGAACCAAATTCACGAACGTCAGCATCAGGACATGATCTTTTTTTTGGTTTAATCCTAAACTGGGGCATTTTAACACGAACTTCTTTTTCAGCCCATCGAGACAAACTTTCCTCAAACTGAACAAGGAGACGACTTGAAAATGCAGAAATCAGTTAATCGTTGTTAAAAGTCCGTGTTTATTTTATCGTTCTGTTGTTTTCCGCAGAAGCCAACGTGAGCACGTCGATCCAGTTGAACTCCACAGCCAGAGGTTCTGCAGCAGCCTGGGCCATCCTGCCCGTCTGTGAGTAGAACCCAGACATCTTGATCGTGGCTTCACGTCGTCTCGTGCATCTTTATTTCTCACTGCATTTGTTTTCCCGCTCAGTGCTGCTGGCGATGGCGGCGGCGGGCGGATACCTGATGTGGAGAAACTGGCAGCTGAAGAACCAGAAGAGCATGAACTTTGACAACCCCGTCTACCTGAAGACCACAGAAGAAGACCTCAACATCGATATCACCCGGCACGGCGCCAACGTGGGACACACCTACCCTGCGGTGAGTGAATGGCCACAGGGCATCATGGGTAAAAAGTCTGATCTTTACACATAATCCGTTCATCATCGCTATAAGTAGTAAATAACAGTTTCTGAGCAGCTTAAATCGTTTCACCCTGATGCCGAGGACGCTGACTTGACGGTGACCTCGTCTCTCACCCTGACCTCGTGACCTGTAGTAATCCTCGGTGCATTGTTGGGGCGTCCGCAGCGCACATCTCTGTGTACACAGATTAACCAGATTAACCGAAACCCGGCCAGAGTCACAAGATGGACGCTGATCTCTGCCGCCACAGCTGCGGCACACGCCTCTCTCCACGCTGGAGGAGCCGCCGCATGAAATCCTTCACAACCGATCACACCGAGTTTTTTATAATCAAATCAAGACGTTGTTTACTAACGAGCTTCGTTTTCACTTTGACCAGACGAACTGCGGTGACGCAACACGTTTCAATCGTACGACAACAGAGACTCACATGTATGAACAGACTGAACAAACAAATAAAACATGTTAATGACGTGTGTGTCCCCTCCCCCCCCCCCCCCCCCTTCTGTCTCCAGATTTCCATAGTGAGCACAGAAGATGATTTGTCCTGATCGTCTTTGGGTTTTTTTCGTTTTTGTCTTTTGTCTTTTTCTGTTTTTACGGCAGCCCGTAGCGTTGCATGGCGCCTCCTTGTTCCCATGCCGACGGTTGTCTGTAGCAGCCCGTACAGTCCGACCACATGCCTTCTGAAGTGCATTATGTCATAATCTGTGCTGAGGGTGACCGGTGGAAAAGTTACTAATGTGAATACAGCGATGAATCATGACGGATTTCACTCAGTGCTACGTTTTGGTTTTTTTTTTGTTACGTTTTTTTTCGGACCTTGGACGACTTCCTGTCGATTTTTTTGCCCCCGTGCTCTTAAAGGAGTCCGACGCCATCTTGCCAACGACAGACGAGAGAGACTCTTTGCCTCTTTAACGAGGATTTCTGTGCTCGGGCTGAAGTGGTAAACCGACGACGGGACGCAGAGCCGCTCGGCTGGACAGGATCTGAAACTGGATCCGAGCTCTGCGTATCCGACACGACGTGCGTTGGAAGCCGGCGGGAGAGCAGAGGGTCAGGGGTCGTGTAGGAGTGAGGCTTTCCTGGAGAAAACGTGGTTCAGACGTCATTTCCTGCCTCCTCTGATCCCACAGGCTCCGATGTTTGTATATTTACGTTCGATCAGAAAATCTAAAAAATGTACGTTGTTTGTTTTTTTCATTTGTTATTTTTATTTCTGCTTTTCTACAGAACCTCCTGGAACTCATTTTTACTATTATATTATTATTATTGTTGTTGTTGTGGAAGCTGTGTACGGATCACCATGGTTACAGCATTTGTAAACACTGTACATATGAATTCATCCAATCAGGACTCTTCAATGCACTTTGATCTAACGTTCTTGTGTAAATAAGATTGTATACATTTGACTTGAAATCCACTTTTTGCTAAAGTCGGGCATCGAACCAGGGTCACAGTTACAGAAGAGACGTATTTAACAAGAAAGAAAAACCTGAAAATGACACAAAAAAAAAAAAATCTACACAATTGAATTTGCTAAAACTATTTTGTATGTTTGTGCTGTTGCTGTGAACTTTTTCTAGACTTGTACAGTGAAGGGGAACGTTATTAAAACTTAAGAGCTCTGTATCTGTGAGGAAACTGATTCGCAGAATTAAAATCTAATCCAGAACGTCTGTCGTGTGTGTGTGTGTATATTTGCTTTATAGACAAATTTATTTATAGCCTGCAATGCTTTCTGGGATTTGAGTGAATGAATGCTCAGGTGTCCCAGAGTCATAAATATATTTTCTCATCACACGAGTGAGGATTTAAAGTTTAAACAGGATGCACCCTGACCTGTAGCGTTAACGTCAGGTGGCAGAATCAAACCCACGTAGCTGCTACAACTAAAACCTCCCTGCCTCCATCTTTAATCTCTAAAACACCACCGCTCCGCTCTCGTCTCGGCCGAGTCACGGCAGCTGAGCCAAGAACAGGAGGACGAGAAGTGGGTCGAGGCAGCGGCAGAGCCAAGGGTCGTTTCTTATTTGGAACGAGTTTGGTCCCATTGGTTCATTATCCCTGTTTAACTACAGCCAGGACTAATCTCCACTTATCTGAGTTGTCAGTTGGACGAATTGCGTCAAACACACTGTTGGATTAAAAGATGTCAGAACGTGAAGGTCGAAGTTGCACACGGAGGAAAAGCTTGAGCTGCAGCCGACTTGTGAATATTTAGATTTTATCTTGAAAAACATTTTGACAACTTCACATTCAAAACACAAGATTTGATCAAATTACATCAACTCAAGAGACAAAATTCAAACATGCACATCGTTTCAGCATTTTCCATTTTCCAGTATATTATAATCTGTTTGAGGATCTGTTGAACAACTTCACACTGAATCATGAAGCTGAGGATTCACCGAACCAGAACGTGAACATTTAGCTGAAGTGGGAGGGAGGAGAGGGAGGAGAGGGAGGGAGCGATGGATGGAGGAGGAGGAGGAGGAGGATAATAGTATTTAAAACTCTAAGCACCCGGATCATCTCAGTCGGCTGCTGCAGACGACGAGAATCACATCCTGTTTCATCACTCTGTGCAGGGCTCCAGCTGTGTGTGTGTGTGTGTGTGTGTGTCCAGGATGTGTCTTCATGCACTTTGAGTCACTTTAGATTCCAACACTCTCAGCAGGGGCCATGTTGTCCCACCTCAGAGCCCGGAGCAGGAGTTTGTTCCACAGCTACAAACCCGGCAGCCGGACTCAAGCCGCCAAAGAGCCGGTGGACCACCTGGACTTCACCTGCACCTTCAAACCCTGGAGCTCCATGCAGGTCGGATCCTTTTCATTTACTCTTCTTCTCAAAGACGCTGGAATCAGATCATTATTCTATTCACTTCAGTTCTACGTTAATGGATCCGGTTATTAATCAGTGGAAATCAAACCCAATAAAACAGGAATCAATTAAAACTGAATCTAATTAAACATAAATTTGTTTTTTTCCCTTTTATTGCAAATGCATTTATAATCCAGTTTCATTTGAATTCCCTCGAGAATTTTCTACATTTTGTATTTTTGATATTCTTTATTTATTCTGTTTAATTATTTTCTTTCTGGTTTTATCTCGTGAAGGATCTGGGCAGAGATATTTACGATCTTTATACTGAGTACGAAGAAGAGGAGGATCGAGTCCCAGCGTCTCCCTCACACCTGCTGCTGTCTCCGACCAAACACTTCATCCTCAACATCAACGTCGGAGGAACGGTAACTTCTACGCAACGCTTCAGCAGATTCTCCACCAGGAGGAGCTGTTGAGTCGACTTATCTTATAGTAACCCTAAAATGCTGTTTATCTCGACACAACACAACCCCCTGTAGGTGCTAAAATGTAACAGCAGGAGTGTCGCCCCCTGCAGGCACAAAAGATGAACAGCTGCTGTCATTTTTAGCTCTCGGGCGCCCCCTGCAGGCAATGAGCTGTATTTTATAGCTGTTTTCTTTTACATTAAATTTGAAGGGAAATGGTGAATAAATTCCGGAACTTAATAATTGTGTGATTGTTAAACAAACGGCAAATAACATTTAGGGTTAAATAATTTTTTGCGAGTGCACATAATCATCCTCTCGCCTTTTATAGCTGATGGATCAGTCACTCGATATATAAAATATCTTTGACATCATTGTCTCCTCCAGGTTTACCACCTGCCCTACAGGTTAGCCGCCAGGTATCCAAAGACCCGGATCGGCCGCTTGGCCACCTACACCGACCACAGCAGGAAGTTGGACCTGTGCGACGACTACATCGTCCAGAGTAACGAGTTCTTCTTCGATCGAGACCCCAAAGTCTTCCACAACATCTTCAGCTTCTACAGGTGAACCACGACGCGTGAGAGGAAACGTCACCACACGTGGTTTTTAAAAAAAAAACGTGACGTAAGACATGTCCCTGTGCTCGTCTTCAGGACTGGAGTTCTTTGGATCAAAGACGAGTTGTGTCCCCGCAGTTTCCTGGAGGAGATAAACTACTGGGGCGTCAGGATCAAGAACAGCCAACGCTGCTGTCGCATCTCCTTCGAAGAGCGTCAGGACGAGCAGAGCGAGCAGCTGAAGATCCAGAGGCAGCTGATGGCAGAGGTGGGTGATGTCATGATGACGCTGTGATGACATCATGCTGACGTCTGATCAGAATTTAATCGTCCCATGTAAACGCACAGTGTCCGAGTCACAGCAGGACACACCGGGGACAGAAGGACACTTTGACCTCTGGTGAAGTTGTTTTGTCCAAAATAAAAAAGGTCACGAGGTCGTTCAGCTTTTATTTCTACCTGTGACATTCGTCAGTAATCTGTCGACTGACTCTGAGTCTGTCTGACCTACATTATAAATCACTGCTGTCTTGACAGATGGAGAATAAGCTCTTTTTTTCCCCGTCCCAGACGTCCCACTGTCCCACTGTCCCACTGTCCTGCAGTTTGTTCTACCAGTTGTTTTTTGAACACAGTTTGAGCTGATGATGTTTTGTTCATTAAGTTATTTTGCTCTAGGATGCAGTAAAGTGTTTTTAACCTGCATACAAACTGTACGTTTACAACCTTAGGGAATGAATGTCTGTTCAGTTTGGTTTTGTGGTAACGTCTCTGGTCCGTGTCGTTCAGGTGGAGATGGAGACCGAGGAGTTCTTCCACGACATGGTCTTCTGCTCGACCCGCAGGAGAATCTGGAACCTGATGGAGAAGCCGTTCTCCTCGGTCCCGGCCAAGCTGATGGGCATCGCCTCCTCCATCTTCGTGCTGGTCTCACTGGTTGCCATGACGCTCAACACCGTGGAGGAGATGCAGTACAAAGTATATATATATTCATATATATTTATATATAAAACCCTGAACCCCCACAGAAGTAAAGTACCAGTTCATCAGCTTCACAGTCCAAAGCAGGATTTCTGTCTTGTTTTCCAGACGGCCTCGGGTCAGCCCAGCGGCAGATTCTACGGCGAGTACGTGGAGACATTCTGCATCACCTTCTTCACCCTGGAGTACCTGCTGCGCCTGATCTCCACCCCCGACCTCAAGTGCTTCGGACGCAGCGTGCTGAACATCGTGGACCTGATCGCCATCCTGCCGCACTACCTGCAGATGATGCTGGAGTGTTTTGAGGCCGAGGACGTGCACCTGCATTCTGGGGACATCGAGACTGTCGGCCGCGTAGGAAAAGTACGATGAAGCTGAGAAATCAACAAATGCGTTCGATTTCTCTATTTCACTGTGTTTACGAGCTCCTCTGTGTTTTGTCTGCAGGTCGGTCAGGTTCTGAGGATCATGCGTCTGATGAGAATCTTCAGGATTTTGAAGCTGGCGCGTCACTCGACCGGCCTCCGAGCGTTTGGCTTCACACTGAAACAGTGTTACCAGCAGGTGGGACTCAAACCTCAGCTTAAACAACAGTCCACCGATATAACACCACATTTCATAAACCCTGTGTCCTCCATGTTAGCAGATGGGACATGGACCAAACTGAAAAGTCAAATAAATCACGACTCCACTTCATGATCACGATGGCGACGGAGAGTAAAACCTGTTTGTGTTTGCAGGTGGGCTGTTTGCTCCTCTTCATCGGGATGGGGATCTTCATGTTTTCAGCCGTTGTGTACACGGTGGAGCACGACGTCATCAACACAAACTTCACCTCCATGCCACATGCGTGGTGGTGGGCCACAGTGAGTGAATCTCCACACGTCCGCTCAGACTGAAAACCACCCGGCTGTGCACTGCATCTGTTCACCCGTGTCTCCTTCATCCTCCAGGTGAGCATCTCCACGGTCGGCTACGGCGACATGGTCCCCGAGACCAACCTGGGCCGTATCTTCGCCTTCGCCTGCATCTCCTTCGGCATCATCCTCAACGGCATGCCCATCTCGGTGCTCTACAACAAGTTCTCAGACTACTACACCAAGCTCAAGGCCCACGAGTACACCGCCGTCACCAAGGCCCGCGGGAAGATGCACCTGGCCAGGAGGGCGGCAAAGAAGTTTGCAGAGTGCTGCGAGGAGGTCGCTCAGCCAAAGACCTCCCGTCTGCACCGAGTCAGGTTCTAGATTTTCACATCGACGGAAGGATTCAAGTTGTTTTTGGTGAAATGACATGATTTATGACCGTGGATGCAGGAAACAGTTCCTGCAGAGACCTGTGGGGGGCGTCACGTTTTTCTGTCTGTGCTTCAGGTTTTTTCTTATTTTATTTGAGAACAGTTTTCTATTCTAGATATCCTCAGTTTAATCTACACACGTTTGTGTCAAAGCTTGAAACGTCATCAGCCTCTCCTCCTCCTCCACACTCGCTCCCTCGTTCTCTAAAGCTCACATGTAATCCAGGACTCAGGAGTGAACGACAACACGACTGAATTAAATCACAAGTTGAGGAAACATCTGGACGTGAAAACTGTTTATCTCCCTCATGTGTCTCTAATAATAAACCAAAGTCACTTGATTTCAGTGTTATAAAGCTGTGTGTGTATTTTTTAACTTCATTCTCACCATTTAAAAAAAACTGAGTTTTTGATATTGGCCTCCATAGAGAACAGCTCTGTCTGACGAGCTGATGAAAGTTGAGACTAATTGATCAGAATCTGGTTTAAACTGTTTAATTAATAATCTTTATTTTGCATTTTTCATCTGATACAATCATGAAAATATTTAAAGATAAAAAACAAAAACAAAACCAAACAGGATGGATGAGGATCAGTGGACAGGAAGTTATCATCATTGACTGAACTGCTCGTTAACTAGTCCTAGTTGAAGGACCAGTTTATCCAAACTACCCAGACTTCAGGTTAAAACATGAACTTGTCCATATTCTGGCTGTGATTGACCGGAGACGATACCAAAAGGTTGGTGAGCGACAGAGAAGTTGTCGTCTGTGTTCCAGGTTGTGTCCACGTCCCTCAAAACGTTCCCATCGACACAGTCTTGTCGGGCTCGGCTGAACAGGACGTGTCACGTGAGCAGTTTGTTTGAAATTCAAAGTCTCTACTTGTTCAGGTTCTCCAACAGGATTTCAGCCCCTTTGTTGTTGCTGATGCTGCTGAGCTCTGACGTGATGGGCTTCAGCGCCGCCTTCACCTCCGCAGCCACCGACTTGTCGCAGCTGTTCAGGAGGCTGCACACAAACACAGAGGAATTAATTTAAACTGATTAAAGTTTCATTTACGACACAGGACCTGGTGTTTACACCCGTCCTGAGAGATCTGACCACAGCTCCAGGTTCTGTTCACACCTGGTGTTTAAAAATGTCTTGAATGTGTCTCCTGTGATCAGAACTCACTTTCCTGCTCGATATGATTATAAACATGTACGTCATCTCTCTGTGTGTGTGTGTGTGTGTGTGCTAACCTGCAGAGAACCATGGCTCCTCTGTTCGCCTTCACCCAGGTCTTCAGTTTGTCTGTTCCCACCGTGTCCACCAGTATCCTGCCAAACCGCTCTGAGAGGGCGAGAGAGGTCAGCGGCAGCAGGGAGAAGGCAGAAGAGAGAGAGAGAGAG